CATTCTTAAGTATTCTGACTCTCACCCCTGGGTGAAGGGCTAGCCCAGGGGGCCCTGCTGTAGCAGGGGTAAGAATGCAGCCAGTGCAGGGGTGGGGTGGCCAGTTGTCACCTGTCTCCCCCTCTGAGCTCTCCCTCTCCACTATGCTGTCCTCTGAAGGTACCAGGGCCCTGTGCTGCTGATCCGCAGAACCAAGGATGAGATCATCACTACCACGTGAGTGCCTGGGAACTTCTGCCCTCCTGGATCCCAGAGACAGCCAGGGAGTTGCCCCTCCTCCCTCTGCCCACCAGAAAACCAGGTATCCAGAACCTTCCTCCCCAACCTCCAGCCCCTCCAGTGTACATTCTTCTCACCCCCAGGGTTCCTGAGGACATCATGTCTAACCGAGGCAATGACCTCCTGCTGAAGCTCCTGCAGCATCGGTGAGAGCCAGGGTGTGTGTACGCACATACGCACATATGTGTGTGTACTGACACCAGCACGGGGAGACAGGGGAGAAGGTTTGGGGATGACGAGTGAAGAGAACTGGGTCTTGACCTCTTGTCCCGGCACTGCCTCCATAGGTATCCCCGTGTGATGGCGGAGGAGGGTCTTCAAGCGGTGAGGCAGTGGCTGGAGGCCTCCTCACAGCTGGAGGAAGGTGAAAGGGGATCTGGTGAGGGCTTTGGTTGGGGGCCTGGCAAAACCAGGTTGCTGATGGACACTCCTCTCTCTCCATGACCAGCCTCAATTTACAGCCGATGGGAGGTGGAGGAGGACTGGTGCCTGTCCGTCCTCCAGTCCTACCAGGCAGAACACGGGCCTGAATTCCCCTGGAGCGTGGGTAAGGAGTCCTGGGGCAGGAGGAGGGGTTGGGAAGAGCCCAGGAAGGGGGTGAATATCCAGATGCGTGGCCCGTGTTTGAGCACCTCCTCTCTGCAGGGGAGGACATGAGTCCAGAAGGAAGGCGGCAGCTGGCTTTGTTTCTGGTGAGCTAAGGGGTGGGAAGCAGGAAGAGGGTGCCTGAATGGCCAGGGGGCACGTGTGGGGCTTGGGGACAGGGGTACCCTGTAAGCATTGGAAGTAGCAGCTTTTGTAGAGTGGGTAGTGGGTTCGGAGGGTGTCTGTGTTCTGTACCCCACCTGTCCCACCCTCTCCCCTCAGGCTCAGAAGCATCTGCACAACTTCGAAGCCACACACTGTACCCCACTCCCGGCCCAGAACTTCCAGATGCCCTGGCACCTCTAGGGACCACACTGGGACTCATTCTGGAAGAACGGATGGGAGGAGACACGAGGAAGGACCCTATTACTTGTTATCCTCTGTGTTTATTTTGCTGTTTATAGTTTGTGGCGAGCGGGGAGACCATCCCCCTTCTCACTGTTCCTCTTGCACGTTTCCCCTCATCCATCCGGCAGTACCTAACCTTCCCCAACACACTCCCTGCATTAAATGAATGGATTATTCCTAATAATTAATAAAAATATTTTTTCTACTGGCTGGCTAATTTTGTGACTTCCCAGGTGTCCAGGAAGCCAGGGTTGGGAGTGGGGAGAGTCGAAGCTCCAAAGGGCTGGGCTTTGAGAAACCCCAACTCCAGACAGCCAGTGTAACCCTCCCCATCTCTGCTGTCGCCTCAGGCAATAGCACGAGCTATCCTTGTGCAATGGGTCCCCAGTCCTCACCCTTCCCTGGCATGCCTAGTACTATCACCACTGTGCGGCCTCCCTGGTGCCTGCCTAGGCCTTCCTGCATACGACCAGCCCAGCAGACCAAGGTTGCCTCCTCTTGCTCACAACTCATGGGCTTTGTTGGTTACAAAATACTTTCTAGCTCCTGATTTTCACCTACTCAGCGATTCTACAGATCTCCAGGTCCAGCCTGCATGGTCTCACCACCAGTCCTTCCAGTTTTCCTTGCTTAGCTCTTGCTCTTTCCGTGGGGAGTGAGGAACGGCCTGCTCCCACGTCTGATGCAGCAAACCCTGCACACCCTCCTCACCATGTCAAGTCTCTCTCTTCACACCCTCTTTGCAATTCAACAAACACAGGGCCTGCCGGGGACCAAGGAGCAGGTGCCAAGGACTCGGGTCTTCCCAGAGCCATACTTTGCCTTTCTGGACAGCTGTTAGAATATTCTTAGTTTGAACTTGAGGAAATTGGTTCCCTATAACTTCCATTCTATTTCCAATCCTTGGACCTCACAGAACAGAATGAGTCCCTTTCCCACCCATCAGTTTGTACCCTGGCCACCTTCTTCCCTTGGAAACCTCTTTTCCAGATGAAATACCCCTAGGTTTACCACCCTGGGTCCACCATTTTGAACAAGATACTTAAGGTGGACCATATTCTGAGGTCCTGGATACAGCCTCTGGTTAATTTCAGTGTCTTCTCCAACCTCAAAGCACAGAGCTCCCCTGCAATGCCTGGGGCAGAGGCTGTCTGCCCTAACCAGCTCAGCAGCTCCTTAAAGGGAGATACACTGAGTCTCCACTGAAAGGAGTGATCTGAGACTTGTCAGTTGACATGATGCTTCCTATTTGGGGTTAGAAGAGAAGAGGTGGCCACAGCTCCAGAGTGTTCCACCTTTAGCAAATACCGGAGAGCTGATACTGGCACCCCTGTCCTCTGTTCTGCCCTAGGGAGCAAACAGGGTGGGAAGTATGGAGCGTGAAGCTGTGGGAACCAGCTGCATGATTCTGAACCTTGCCTTCCAGAGCCATCAGGACAGTTAGCCCCCTGGAAACCCAAGTCTTTGTTCAGCTAAGGGAACCTCCTTAAATGCAAACACGGGGTGCCCCACATCTCACACCCTAGACACAAAGGACTCCCTCTTCCTGGCCATGGCCATCAGGGACTCTGTTGACCTGCCTCTACAACCACGTCTCCCTCCCCCTTCTTCCTGCACATACTATAGAGAACAGTGGATGCCGTGAGGGGCGCATGGATACCTGAAGTGGGTGGGGAGAAGTGAGGCTCAAAATTTGAATTCTGCACCTCGCCACCAAGGAGTCTCAGTCTACCCCCTCAGATTACTCCCTATCTGATAAGGCTCACACCCCCGCCCCCGGGGTGGGACCAGCTCCCCCATATCCACTCCTCACTCTATTTATCAGGGTTCTAGCAGCCTCGGGAGAAGACCAGCTGAGATGCAGACACCACATCTGCTGAGGCTCTGACTCTTGCTGTAGTGGGCACCAGGTGAGGCCTGGACACCCAGGCATCCCAGAGTTGCTAGGCAAACTGGGAGAGGGGATGGAGGCTGGGAAAAAGGAGAGCTAGCAACTGGACAGGAAACCTGGGAAGAAGAAGTGGGCCCCGGGCTGGGCCACCCCTTATCTTACCATGTCTCACTGGCCCAGGCGCCACCCTGCGCTGCTCCCAGTGTGAGGTGCTGGACTCGGCTCTGAACTGAGTGTCTGGGTTGAGGGTTTGCTCCATGTCCCCGGGAGGGGCATGTGTTTCTCGCACTGTCACAAGTGAATGAGGGCCCCGAGGGTGAAAGGCTCCAGAGAGTGGGGGGCCCAGGCGTCGGGGATAGCCAGGTCCCTATCCATCCATCCATCCAATCACCAACCCTTCCCAGCTCCCTCAGGAGCCCAGTCATTCATTTTTTCATTCATTTCTATTCTGATTAAAGATCCCCTCTGTAGTTCCTCTCCAGACTGCTCTGTCGCGGCCACTCCCCTAACAGAACCTGGCTTTCGCCCAGCCCAATCATCCATAGCTCCGCCCCTCGTTCACCCCGATTCTTCCTCTAACTGCAGCGTTCTGTCCTAAGGCCCGACCTGCTTTGTTTGGTAATTTGGCTGCTTACCCTCAGGTATCCCTTGTCCGGGGGGAGGGGCCCTCAGCGTGGATTTCTCCAGCCGCTGTTTTCACCAGGACGACAGTTGCAAAGCCCCGCCTCTTCACCCCAGGAAGGCCTCCAAGGAGCCCGTCACCATAAGCCTCCAAGGAGCTTATATTCGAGAGAGGGAGTCAAAGGGCGCTGTGAAATTCCCTTCTGCTTCTCCTTTGCCCACTTTGCTTCAAAAGCAGCCCCCGCTGTCTAATTGTTTTCGTCTATCACTTTGTCCCTCATTCAACCAACATTTATATCGGTCCCAGGTGCTCCTCCCCAGTTCTCCATTACTCTTGACTTTTCTCTAAAATAATTCTCTTATTTTTATTATCCCAAGGCTCTTGGGGTGCGCGCAGTGGCGTGTGTTTTCCTCTCGTATTTCTTCTTTCGCGTCCGCCTTTCTTGGCGTGTCTCCGTCAGTTTCTTCCCATCTTCCGCATCAGCACCCCGAGACCGGATGATTCTTGGATAGTGTTGGGAACACAGCAGGGAACCCTCGGGCAGGGCCCGGCCCCAAATCTTCAGACTGGAAGTTGGAGCAGGTGGTCCGTTCCTGGAAGCCGAGGACTTCCCCTAGCCCACCGACCCTTAAAGCAAAAACCCTGTGTCTCTCACAGAGAGACGGACCTGGCGAGATGCCGACGGAGCAGGCATGGTGGGCCCAGCAGGCCCCCGGCGGGGGAAGTGGATGGGGCGCCTGGAGCCAGTTCGCGGCCGCTCATTGCTTGCTGTGTGGTCTCCAGAATCCGGGTGTGGGGAGGGATGTTAGCGCCACAGTGCGACGTTCCGGGGAAGCCGCGTAGTGCTCTGGGTGTCTGACAGGGCCGGATGCCTGGGTCCCGACGCCGGGCGCGCCCTCCCCAGCCGCCCGGCCAAGAGCTGAGCTTGGGCTGGGGGCCGCCTTCGCGTCTTCCCAAAATCTCTGAGGTGCAGCCAGGCGCGGAGAGCGAGCGCACAGCGCCGGAGCCTGTGGGCGCCGGAGATCAGATCCACCGACCTGCAGCTGAGCTGAGGCGGGGCCGGAAAAGTCGGGCGTAGGGAAAGGCTCTGACTTACCGGAACCCACAGGGGGCACTGGGCCGAGTACGGTCATTAGCGACTCAGGTGTCCTCGCTTTGGGATTTCTGACACGTGTTTCTCATCTTGGAAAATGGTGTCACAATTACCCCCTTTTGCAAGCCTATCCCCCTTCCCTCACCTCACATTCAGTCTAAGTCCAAATCTGTCCAGTCTTTCTTCTAAATGCAGCTCAGATTCGTTCACTTCGCGGCTTCCCTCTCTTCTGCTAGACCAGGCCGCCATCTTGTGACTGGGCTCAGGAATAGCTTCCTAAGTGGTTTTTGGCCTCAGAAATCTTTTACAAACATAAATTGATCTTGTTACTGCTCTAATGAAACTCCTTGGGTCAGTACTTTCCATTGCCCAAGTTCTCCCTGGAAGCACTCTGCCCGCGCTCCCCGCCCCTCCCCCTTCATTGTCCGTTGACTTGTCTCCCGTACTAGATGGTGTACTCTGTGGGGGTAGTGACTTTGTGCAATATTGTATCCCCAACACCTGATGCAGTGATTGAATGAATGTCTGTTGAATTAATATGAAAGAAGTTTCCCCTCTCATTCCCCTGTTGCTGGGTCCTTGTCCCCATGCCAGTATGTTAGACCCCAGAATGGCCGTGGGTGAGGACGCTCTGTCCCTCTGGCTGTTCAGGCACTGATTTCCACCCCCAAAGGATGTTGCCTCTCCCCTTCGTCTGCGCCACCTTCTCTTCCACCAATATAAGGCCAAACTGGAGGCTGGTGGGCAGTCATGCATGTTATGGCGGGCCCTGCAGGTAGCCGGAGTCTGGGCCCCCCCCCAAGCCCTGTACATGGTCCTCTTAATAATGCTGGTCCTGATGAGCTTGGCGTTTGGTAAGTGGCTCTACGGGGTCAGACGGGTCTCCTATCCTGCTGGATAGGGAAACCCTGGATAGATGTCTGGGTACATCTGCCAAGGAGATTCAGGTAAACCCAGGCAGGAAGAAAGATGGGATGGGTGGGCTTGGTGGGATAATGCCTGGGGACTGATAATGTACTGATGTTCACTCTGAGGGAGATTTCTGGTGATTACCCCAGGGCTATCTCATTCAACAGCAGTGACCTGAATGGAGATACTAAAGGGAACCTCTTAGAATCTGAGGACAATACAGAATAGGGAGGGTTGGGAGAACATGCCAGATGACAGCCTCAGGATCCACAGTGTAGAACAAGGCTGAATCCAGCCTGATAACCTCACTTGGCTGCAAAGCACCATTGACACAGAAACAAGATCCAAAGTGTTTGCTAAGCATCTGCCTTACACCAAGTGCTCTGCTGGGTCTGGGGACTCATCAACATGTGGTCTGGGCCTGGGATCAGAGGAGGAGGGAGGTGAATAGGAATGCAGTTGGGGAGGGCTTTGGTGGACAAAGTTTAATATGAGTCTGTTCAGTGAGAGAACCACCAAACAAAGAATGTGGCCTTGGGCTGCTTGATGTCTCCTGTCTACACAAAGCTGAGATTCTTCCTGTCCTGTGATGATGCACCCTGATGTTTTCACTTCTGAACATTATAGATTAAGAAAGCGTATTCAAAAGAGTCTGGGGGTTGGGTGGGGACAGTGAAACCAAGTCACAAAGGAAGAACTGTCCTAACAGGGCTGCCAAAAGTTGTAATGGACTGCCTTGGCCTAACCTTTAAAAGTTAGAGGCTTGTAGAGTGCTGGGCACGTTAGCCCCTCAAATATATGAATAAATGAGTGAATGAATGAGTTCCTCATTTCAGGAGGTAAAAGAGCAGAGAATGGAGATTTTTAATGAGAACGAAAGCTTCTGATGTTAGATTAAGCCAGATGGTTCATTAAAGAATTGGTGATTTCATGGTTTTCTGAGATGGGGAGGTAGGAGGGAACAGTGGGATTGGCCAGTCTGGGAATTAGGTGGGTTTGGGGTCAGTGCTTCTCTGTATTCTAGGTGAGTTTGAGCGTTATGATCAAGAACCCCTTCATCAGATTCATTTAAATAAATACCTAAGCTGCTATCGATGCCTCTTGGAGACCAAGGAGTTGGGATGCCTTCTGGGATCTGACATCTGCCTCGCCCCAAAGGGCAGCAGCTGCATGACTCTGCTCATAGAGAACAGTAAGCTGCCTTCTCCCTTTCGTCGTGGGCCCAGCCCATTCCCGAACTGAGTCTCTACCAGCCTTCTAAGCTGCACCCTAATACTGGTTCCCACAACTCTAAGACACTGTTCCACCACTCTCTCTCTTTCCTTTCCTTTAGAGCCACTCCCCATCTCCACTTCTACTCCCCTCCCCTTCTCGGCTAACCCTCCTCATAGCACCCAGCCTTGTAGGGGACCCTGGGGATCACCAAATCTACTGGCCTTTCTTCAAGCTGCCTTCTCCCCATCTGTCAGCAGTAGTTCCTGCCAGCACCACTCTTCTACATCTTCCACTGCTTCTTTCCAGTCTCCTTCACTGAGTCTTGCCTTTAACTGGGTCTTCGCTAAGTCTTGACCCTTAACAGTTCACGTTCCCCAAAGTTTGGTCCTTAGCTCTCTTCCTCTTTACTCTCCCAGAGGATTTTATCTGCTTGCTTGGCTTCACCCAGCAGGCACATACTGCATCCTCCTAAAACTGAACGTTAGGCCAAACTGTAATGTCAAATTGCCCTCTGGATATCTCCACCTCATTTTCAACTTGCTGGAAATTGACTACATTCCCAGTTCCTCAAGCCTGCTCTTCCACCTGATCCCTCACCTTTTTCAATAATAAATAATAAACACATAACACAGACTCTGTACCCGGCACTGTTCTAAGCACTTACAACCCTCCAAGGTAGGCATTGTTATCCCCATTTTACAGACGTGGAAACAGAGGTGCAGAGAGGTCAGTACCTTGCATAAGTCTCCTAGAGGCTGAGCCACAGTTTGTGGTGGTTCCAGAGATGGTGCTCTTGACAACTGCTGTACAAAGCTGCCTTCATTCAAATCCTTTCATTATACTTTTTGAAACAGCTGATGCATAGATGTGGTTCCATATCAGAGTATTCAAGAAAAGTCTCCCTCCCACTCCTGGCCCAATTCACCCAGCTCTCAGGCATGAATAAGAGAAAACCATTTTTTAAATTGCCTTTATTATCCTTTCTGTGACCTTTTGTGCACATCCCACCCTATACAAATATGCTGTTTACTCCTTTTCACCTCTTTTTTTCCTCCACAAACAGTACCATACTACTGTAAGCACTGTTCTGCACTTGTTTTTCAAACTTAACAGTTATGGGGGATGTTTCCGTATCAGTTTGTAACCAGCTTCCTGTCCTGCTGCATGGTATTCCACGGCATGGGCATGTCAGAGTTGATTTATCCATCCCCCTACTGATGGACCTTTAGGTTGCTTCTAAGTTTTCACTCTCTCAAGCAGGGCAGCAGTGAACATCCCCGTACATGGGCACAAAGATTTCCCCTCTCTCATATATACAATAGCAACAGAGATATCCTCTTCTACTTTTTTAAATATAAATTTATTTATATTTTATTTATTTATTTTCGGCTGCGTTGGGTCTTTGTTGCTGCGCGAGGGCTTTCTCCAGTTGCTGCGAGCGGGGGCTATTCTTCGTTGCGGTGCACGGGCTTCTCGTTGCAGTGACTTCTCTTGTTGCGGAGCACGGGCTCTAGGGTGCTCCGGCTTCAATAGTTGTGGCCCGTGGGCTCCAGAGCGCAGGCTCAGCAGTTGTGGTGCAGCGCACGGGCTTAGTTGCTCCACGGCATGTGGAATCTTCCTGGACCAGGGATCGAACCCATGTTCCCTGCATTGGCAGGCAGATTCTTAACCACTGTGCCACCAGGGAAGTCCCTCATCTTCTCTTACTTTTTTTTTTTCTCTTCTCTTACTTTTGATCCATAAAATAAACGACAAACACCTCCTGTCTGCAATCTGACCTCCAATACATCTCCCAACTTTTTCTTACATGGTCCCGCCTGAAGTGCTGGTTCTCCTCGCTTTGCTCCACAAGTCCCAATTCACCCCATTCCAGCTGTCACTGTATCTCGAATGGCTCTTTCCCACCAACCTTCCCTGGGAAACTTCCACAGAGTTCATGGCTGGTGACTCCCTGGCACTTGCTGGCCTGTCCAGTTCCAGGAATTGTTGCATTTTGGCGATCCAGGGCAGGGTGTGGGGGCAGTGATGGTAAGTCCATGTGGGGTGAGGGGATGGGAGGGTTCGGGGCTTTACCTGGGAACTCTGTGTCGCTGATTGCTGCCGTCCCTCCCCAGACAGTGGTTCGGAGATCGTTGTGAGTGACTGCCGCAGCAAGGAGCAGATGAGTGATCGCTCGTACACCCACACTCCTCCAGTGCTGGGCTTCTAGATATTCTCTCGATGCTGCTTCCGGAATTTCTGCAATAACCCTCAGAACAGAATAAAATATGGTCCTTAGAACTTCCATAGAGACCTCTGGAGTAAAAACCGGCCAATTTCCAGCCATCCTCCTGATTTCTACCTGGGGGCAGCCAGAACAATGTCCATCCCCACCCACCAGCCCTCCCTGCCGCCCTCAGCAGCAGCTACTGGACCCCGGTCCTATCTGTCTCTTGGTTGACGCCCCTCAACAGCCCTATTCCCACTCTGCCCCTTCCCTAGGCTCCCTCTCCAGAATTCTCTGGAGTTTTCCTTCAAGGCCTCAGTCTGACATCTTTCCTCCTGTCTGTTCCCACCTCAAGGATGCCCCTTTGCCCTGCTTTGCCTCTTTTCCCACCATGGTCCTCTCTTGTCCAAAGTCCCCAGCTGTTCCTCCAAAATAAACAGGTGTGCGAACTCTTTGATTTGTCTCTCTCTTCTGGTGGACGTGGAGGCTGAGGGAGGTGGTACTGCCTGAGTGCCCCGTCAGGGGCAGGTAAGTGGCTCCCAGCTCTGCGGAGCTCTGCTCCTGCCCTGCCCCACTGTCTCTGATTCAGCTCTCAGCACAAAGAGGTGAAGAGGAACTGCAAGCCCTCCTATGTTGAAGACCAGAAGGGTGGTGGACATCCTTAGAAGTGCTGTCAGACCCAGAGCTGGATGGGGACTGGTAGGGAGGTTCATGGGGGTGTGTTGGTAGGAGTGGAGCTGTAAGAGAACCAGTCCCAGGGAGGAGAGGGTGGGGAAGGAGCTCTGTGAAGAGATGCAAGGCCTAGTGGCCTCTCTGACCCCAGGCTCAACTTCCCTTTTCAAGGACCATGGTTAAGTTACTCCTCAGTTTCGGGCCTTGGGTTTCTCATCCTCTGAGGCTGTCTTCCAGTTTGACTTGCTGGAGCTGTGTAAACCTGGGCCCTTGACTTATGCTGAAGTCAGAGGTCATGGGGTAAAGTGGGGCGGCAAGAGAGGGACACAGTGGCTTGTACCTCTCTTTGTACCTCCAACTGCTTCCTGACCTAGAAACAAATGGTTTCTCCCACCAGAGCACAAGCCATTAAAGGGGCCACAAAAATCTATTAACATACATGCAAAATGTTGTGTAGGAAGCGTGTATGCTGTGATGTCGTTTCTATCAAGCACACAGACAAAATTCAGGACAGTGGCTACCCCTGAATTTTAGGAGGGTCTAGGAGGGTGCATGAAGGCAGCTTTGGGTGCTGATAAAAGCCTTTATGCTAACTCAGGGAGTGGTAACACAGGTGTGTAGTTTACAAAAACCCACCTTATGGTGCGCAAACATCTGTATGGCCAAAAAGGTTTAAAACTAAATAGACCAAAATCTGTGTGCATGTTTGCCTCTAAGGCGTGTCTATTTTTGAGTCCATTAACTTCTATCTCTGTGCACACGTTGACACACATTCTCTCAATCCTGAGGCACTATCCCTACTTGACAGGTGACCAAAATTCGGCACAGAGACCAACTTACTTAAGTGGCAGAGGAGCTGGGATTGGGCCTCCCAGCCACAGAGCTGCACTACTTTTCAGAAAAAAGTTTCATAATCCCAGCACTGGGTTGTGAGATTCAGAAGGGTGGACACCTGGCTGTACTCATCTGCAAGTCTTGCTGCTTAATACTGGGCCTGGCTCAGAGCAGTGTGTCCAGTGTTTATTGAATGTATGGGGAAGGTTGCTTTCTGCATGCTTGCGGTTTTTCAAAATGAAAGACCCTACCACTGCAGCCCCACCTGTGTGCTCTCTGTACTCTCCCACCCCCTCCACCTAGGCCCTCACAGAGGGGGTCCTGGCTCCCAGGATCCTGAAAAGAACTGAGAATAGGCAGGAACGCAGGTGCCTCAGCTCCAGGTTAACTCTGAGATGCAGACCTGGGCCCTCTGGTTTGCTCTTGAGTTTTCATGGTTGAGTATTTCCTCCTTTCTTATGTGGAAAAACCTGACATCACCCGGGTTTAACTTTCTAGGTTTTGTAGGGTATGTTTAAGGCTGGCAGGAGTCACAATCCTCATACTTTGATCTCTAGCTGAGCAGAGGGTGGGATGGATGTGGGCTCTTTGCGGCAGGCCATGAGGAACCACAAAGGCCAAGTGGAGTGGGCAGGGCTCTGCAACCCTGTTTGAACCCCACACCCAGTTAACTTTCTTTAACCTGTTTACACCTGCCCACACCTGAGCCTGACCCCATAAACAATGTGACACAGACTTAGCCCAGTTTGTTTATTGTGGAGGGAAACTGGAGAATCTGGAGCAGAGGACAGATCTTCTCCTCTCCCTGGGATTCTGTGCAAGTGGGTGTCAGGACTCAGGGACGTGAAGTGGGGCTGTGGAAGTCAAAGATGGGGACAAGAGATGAGAAAAGGAAGCAGGAGACCAGGCGGGAGTGAGGGTGGTGGAGACAGTGAGGTAGGAACACCAGAGTGCCCAGTCAGGAAATCTGCACAAAGTCCGCCTCTCACCCGTCTTGATGCAAGGTCAGTCTGGCACAAGGTTTTAGAGACAAGTGTAGGGGTGGAAATAGCCATTGAGAGGGGATCAGGAAGATGGGGGGGGGGGGGGGATGATCCCACTCAGATGATAGGAAAGGGATGAGGAAACCACTGTGCCTTTCCCAGGTCAGCCTAGGCAGAATTCACATTTGAGATTATTTTCTAGGTGGACGAAGGGCACTGGGTGCAGTGCCAACTGCTTTTTGGGGAGGAAACTAAACCAAAACCATATAGACGATGGAAGTACAAAGGAAAGGAAGACTGAGAACTCACAGACCAGAAAGTGTGAGTGTTCTGAGAGGGCAGTACATGATGCTGGGGTGTCAGGGGAGAGACGCTGGACCAGAGTGAAATCTGGGAAGGGTAAGACGTCACAGCCTAGCCCAGGGAAGAACCAAAAGTCCTGAATTGTTGAGGAACCAGTATATGCGGCGCAGGTCAGCAATGGACAAACTCAGATTCAGGGGCAGGACAGCCAGGGGGTCCAGGCCTTCAGAAGGCTCCTTCTCAGCATGGAAGCTGGGTAGGGGCAGTGAGAGGTTCAGGGCTTGGCAGAACCACTGGATCTGGGACTCAGACAGGGGCAGGGCCAGGGACCCCTCAGGGGCCTCAGGGAGGGAGCTCTGGAGCTGGGGGCTGTACCAGGAGTTGCAGTAATCATACTGGCAGCACTGGGCGTAGTACCAGTACTCTGGGAGGTAGGTGGGGTGTTTTTCTTGGCACCGGTAAGACTTGTGCTGTCCACAGCCCCGGATTAAGAAGCGAACCTTGGTATCTGGAAGAGAGGGGACAGCTAACAACCACTGCTGCCTCCCATAGTCCCCAAACCTGGCACCCCTTTCACAGACTCCGCGATCCCTCACCCAGACCCAATTCCTATCCCAGACTCCATCAGAAGGCGCCAGAAAAATTAGCTTAACTGGCTCCACAGAAGCCCAGACCCCTCCCCCTCCAGGATCCTCCATCTCCTTAGACCTCAGGCCCCAAGCAGCCTTCATCTACAAGAGGAGACCAAGCCATGGGCTGCCCTACCAGTAGCCCCTTCCTAGGACTTGACTCACTATGAAAGATGCTGATCCCCATACATGGGGATGAGCTGCTGATCGTGCACTTCTCTGAGCCTAAAACGCATCCTATAGTAGGATCTTCTAAGAGGCAGAGGTGGCAGGTCCGGACTTCAGCAACAAGAGCTGGGGAAGTGGAAGACAGGAGAAATGGCCGTGTTGGCTCACTCCAAGTTCCCTGCCCTGCAGGGAGCCCGCTCATCCAGAGCCATCCCCTCCCTGGACTCAGTCACCCCTCCTTCCCTGCCCCCGTGTCCCACTTACTCTTTCCCACTGTGAAGCCCATCATGACCAGCACACCTACAAACATATAGGCCTTCATCATGGAATTCTGGGGAGAGGGGAAGCCCCTCAGGGGTGCTCTGAAACCCCACCTTCCTGTGACCATGCTCCTTAAGCCTGAACTGCAGGCTAGTTTTGACAGGCAGTCTGAGCAGGAGCTACCGCAGGTACAGAGCTATATTCCTGACTGGAGGAGGAAGCTATTAACTTGGCAGGAGGGACATGTCCTCACCCACCAGGTCTGGTTCCTGAATGTGGGAGCAGTAGCCCAGACAGGGGCAATACCTGGGCCCCAATCCAGCAGTCTACCTTTGTCCTGCGTGCCTTTCAAGGGTGCATGGATGTTTCCTTCTCTGGTACCATCTGCTATCCTTCCCACACAATAGGGTCAGTCCCTATTGTTCTGGGAGAAACCTTAGCCAGGAAGCCAGTGCCCCCCATCCTTCTGAGATGCGCATGTCTCAGCTCCCCAGCAGGGGGCAGGCAGACACCACACAACAGCAGTTCTGGACCCTGCCCCTCCTTTCCCCACCCCTTACAGTTGTTTATTTTGGGACCACTTTCCCTGTAAAACCCAAACTCAAAGTGTTGTTGACTGCACTCCCTAGAGTATAAACAGACGACCACAGGTGGCCCAAAAAGAATATTTCTCTAATCTTTGAAATTTGATTTTTGAGTCTTTTGTGATCTTTGCACATCCCCACACCCAATTCTACAACTCCACTTTCCTACTAAAAACATCACCCAAATCCACTGGGCACAAATCTGTGCTGGATTTCAAGCTGAGGAGGGGGGGCGGGGCCAGGAGAGCTCCTGGGGTTCAGCACACCATTACCCTCCCTTCCCCAACCCCAAGCACCAGCAAATCAGCCCACGGCCTTTTCTTCCACTTTATTTCATATTCCCACCACAATAATGACTCCTTTAATTTAAACTAAAAACCATAGAGGGTTCATGAAAGGGTGGCAGCAAAGGAATGAAAGTGTCAAAGACTGGGGACAGGTGGGGTGGGGAATCAGCGAATCGTCTTGACTGGACTCTTGAAGTTGCTGGCCGCTTGGAGCTGCAGCTGGTAGGCCATCGGATGGATCTTGAAACCGTAGAGCCTGGGTCAGGGCAGAGGTCAGAGAGGCAGCAGAGTGAGCCCCATCCTGGCCCTGCCTGTGGCCAGCATTCCTGCCTCCCCACCCCAGCTCCTTCATGGGCCTGCTCAGTACTGAAGGGCAGAGGTTCCCAAACTTCTTCTCTCAAGAATATTTGGAAATTTATTTTAAATATCCATTAAAACTCAAATTCTAGGACGTACACGTGTGTACACACGCACAAGCACACACGTCAGTACTTGTTTCAATATAAAGCTGAACTTTCCTTCTCTACACAAGAGTAAAAATGATACTCCAGGAAGATAAACCACACTTGAACCGTGGCTCTGAGGATTTCCTGGCAGAAGGTTGAACACCCAAGAAGACAACAAGGTTAGCTACTGTTTAAATGTTGCTTCAAGTGACAAACATTACTTTAAGCGATTCATACATTTAAAAACACACTGTCAGGCATGTCACCATCCCCACTTCATGGATAACGGAACTGAGGCATAGATGATCACACAACTTTCCCAAGGTCACTCAGCAGGGAAAAGCCCTGGCTTTGGGAGAAGTAGGTGTCAAGAACAGACCATGCCCTGTCCTTGTCCTCCCTTCTTTCTGGGGGACCCCGGCCCTTTCCTTTGACCCTTGGTGACTCTGTCCCTGCTCCCCACCTGGGCACAAACTGGTTGGCGGGCCTCTTGGGCCGGTACTCGGGGTGCACCATGAAGAGCATGTGAGGGAAACCGGTGCCGAAGTAGGCGCCATCCGTGTGGTGGTGCCTCGATGACTTGGGTGTGTACACGTCCATGCACTTGGGGCAGTAGAGCTTCACCATGGCCTCACCTGGGATGTCCGAAAGGCCTGGGAGACAGCCAGACTCAGCAGGCCAGGTAACCCAAGCCTGCCCAACCTCCCTCCTGGACTCAGGCCCCAACTTGCTGAGCCCCAACTCCTTCCCAGTGGACCTGCCATTTTATGTGGCCCTTCTTTCCCTTTTCCAACACTCACCGATGGGAAGCATTGGCTGGTTCTCACAGTACACACGGGGACAGTAGCCAAAGTCTCCCTGCTGGTACTTTTCCAACTGCAGTGAATAAAATGGAAGGGGTTGCTGGATAGGTATGAAGAGAAGAGACAACCCCCTCCTCAGCCCAACCCACGTCACTCTGTCCCCAACTCCTCCTGTCTCTCACTGTCCAGAGGCCCCTTTTCTGGCTCAGATGGGCCCTCAAGACTCCTCTGCTTCCCTTCCTCCAGTTAGGCAGGCTGCAGACCATCAGAGCCATTCGCTGCTTATTCTCTGAGGAAGAGGCGGTCTACAACTTCCTGCCCAAGGTCACATCTCCCTCCCTGAAAACACCCCCTTTAGCACACCCTCAATCAGGTTTTAATCCCTAAGCCTAGGTTCTGGGGTTTATTTCCCTCTTCTAAGCTAGATTCCTTGACAAGGTTGAAACAAGTGACTTCTTGCTGCAGGAAACTGTTTCCCTTGTTGCCTGCGAAGGAGCCAAGTGGGAGTAGAGAGGCCTCACCATCTGGGCGATGCCACGGTTGGTGAGGATATAGCGGGCGTGGATCAATCCATAGAGCATTTCAGCTGCCTGCTCAATCAGGTCACTCTGGTTGGGGTTGTCTTCCAGCTCCTCATCTGAAACATGGCCCAACCAAATGCAACCACTTGTCTTACAGCTATTTTGGGTGCCCTGCCCACCCCCAGGGGCTGCTGGTTACTCAGTTAGCCCAGCACCCAACTCTGAGCCTCACCACACCCATGGCCTGGGCATTTGACCCAGAAACCTGGGCCTCTGACCCTTCCACCAACCCAAGGCAGCTCTGCCTTCTTTCCATCCCTCTCAGCCTCTGCTCCCTTCTCTCCCTCGATACATAAACGCAAAGATGTCTCCACAGAAGACAAAACTCTAGCCTGGAAGGTGCAAGGCAGGGAAAAGCAGCAGAAAATAAGACTCATGGAAAAATGGGCATTATGGAATAGCGCTAAGTTAACAGGATCAGAGTATGGGAATGAGTGGTGTTAAATCACAAAACTAAGCAAGAGTGAGGTAGGGAATCAAAATGAAGTAGAAGACTTTGGGTTAAGGGGATCAGAGAACCAAAAGGAAATTCAGAAATTCAAGAAGCAGATAAACAGGATTTGAAAAGGAAAAAAAGCATACACACACAAAACAACCCTGAGGGTGTCTCACCAGGCTCCAGGTCCAAGATCATGTCTAAAGCTTGTCGATAGTGAGGCACCTGCTCATTGAGTCCAGTGAGATTGAATTTGTCCTGGATATAATCTTCATCCACCTGTCGGGACATGAAGTCAAAAGGAAACCCACAACAGAATCCTCAGCTTTGACTTGGGCAAGTTGCTCCAACTGGTGCCTTATCCTCAACACAACTGCTTCTGTTCCCTTTGTTCCACACTCCCAACTCAGCAGAAGTACTTGAGTCTCTCTCCCCAGCTCACATGTACCGCCCACCCATAGAAGCTTCGGATTTTCTTTTCCAAGGATAAACAGGTACAGCAAACTCCGTCTTAGAGAGACATTCCTTTCATGATCCTTGTTCCTATTCCTGCTTCCCATCTCAGTTTTGGCCTCTCCTTAGGGCCAGCTGGCTCTCTGAGGAAGGTGGAGGCTCAACAGCTTGGATTCTGAAGGCAGTTACAATCCCTTATGTTAACACACAGCTTTGCACGTTACAGAACGTTTTAGTAGGAACTATTTTAGTCCTAACAGCCACAAAAGATAGGTACTACCACTACCAGTACCACTGTGGTAATAAAAAAGAAAATACACAGGTTGACGTGTCCAACGTTATACTGCTGGAGAATGTCAGGGCTGACTTGGGGCCCCAGTCTTGCCCCTTCACCACAAGTTAGTGAGGGAGTTACTAAGGGGACTCTTCCTTGACGAGAAAGAGTTTTTAGGTAAGCCTGTGAAAGAAGTGTGTGGAAGCTGAATATGTGGGAGAATTTTTTATTTAGCCAGATTATATGTGGAGATGGATAGGGGGTTTGAGAAGAACTCACTTCACAGAAGAATTCATTGCCACGAAGTCCACAGAACCAGGAAATCCAGGACACCTCCTCTGAGCTGCTCATCTTCACGTAAGCTAAAGAAAGAGGAGTGTAAGGGTAAGCTCTCCCTCCCTGCCTCTGATATCCTCCCTCCTTCCACACTTTGCCCTCCAACCATGGAAGAATTTGGGGCAACCCTTTCTTAAAGGATCCGAACCTGGAGCACGTCTCTCTAGCTCCTCTTATTCACATCTCGGCCCCTTTTCTCTGAGACTAGATAAATTCTTTGGGGTCCCACCACTTGTGAGAAACCGAAAGGTCTTGACCCACTAGTCCTACCCACATCCCTGACGCTCCCAAAGGCCAGGCCCCTCTCTCCTCCGCGTCAACTCCGGCAGGGCCCGCGGCTCAGGCTCCCTACCCGCGCAGGTCTCCGCGTGTTCCCGGCCCCATTCCCAAGCGTTCCGAAGTTTATCCTTTCCAAGCAAGAGCCGAGCCCCTCCTTTTCTCATGGCCTGGGGGTGGCCCTCAGGTTCCTTTCATGGGAGTCCCCACATCCCGCCTCCACCCTTTTGGCCACCTCTCCCTCCCTCGGTGCCGGACCAGGTCACTTCCTTCCCCACCCCCATATCAAGGCGGGGAGACCCCATGTGCCGCGCCCAGGGACAGGGGACACGGCGCGGGGACGACCCCAGACTCACCGACTGGACGGGGACTGGGACCGGGGGACGGGGGGGGAAAGGGGAGTTTCTGCTTCCAAGGAACCGCGGGGACCGCTGCAACGTAGGGCGCGGACAAGACCGCGGTAGGCGAAGTGGGGTGGGGGGGAGTGGAAATTGGGGAGGGTGGGGAAGAGGGCAACGCGCAAGTGCTTAGCGTTGGGAGCCGCGATGGACGCCGGGAAATGGAGTCCCCGGTAGGGAGAAACTGGCGAAACTAGGGAAAGCCGAACTACGAATCCCAGGATGACCCGCGCACGACCCTGGTGTCGCGAGGCTCCTGAGGGAGACGCTCGGGGGCGGGGCGCAGCAAGGGGCGGCTAGGCTCAACCGGAAGCGGAAAGTCAGTATCGCGTCTGGGCCAGGGAGCCTGGGGAATATAGTCGTGTGATTCCCGGAACCGTGGGGTCGAGAAGGGCGGGGAGAGGAACACGGTTGCCGGTGTCGTTTCCTGCCGCTCCCCTCGCACAGCGAGCCTCAGGCCCCGGCGCGGCTACGCTTCCCAGGGCATTGACCTCATCCGTTCCAGCCAGTCTGGTCCTTATCGCCTGTCGGGCTCCTTGCCCGAGTCAGTCCGCCAAGGAGACCCCCGAAGGGGCCCATACTTCACCCCGGGGTTTGGGCTCCGGAGGCGGGAGGTGAGGCCGGGTTCCGTGCTGACGGACCTGGGTAGGGTGTACTGGGCTGAACTGAACGGCGACAGAACCAGGACTGCCCCGTGCGCTAACCTGAGGTGGCGACAGCCATTCTGCTGCTTGTTCCCTTGTACTTCTGCATTTCCTCTTAGGGCTTGAACGGCGCTGCTGCAGGCGCTAAGTGTGACCTTCGAACCCAGGTCAGAGTAATGGTGAGGGGCTGTGAGACGTTATTTCTTTTCACGGTTTCTGGGCATTCTCCACCTCAGGGCCTTTCTTAAGCCCGAGAATGGTTTCCCAGGGACAGAAAATGAGCTCGGAGCGGGGGCCACCTTGAGGGAGGCGAAGGGTATTGTGGGGGCGTTATGTAAAAGCAGCACACCAACCGACGGATCCTTCTCGGTCCTCGCGCTACTTGGGCACGTGCTGCGTTGCGGTATGCTACTGGAAC